TTTCGGTCCCAATCTAGAGAAGAAGAAGAACCAAAAGCTTCAAAGCTTTAAAAAGAGATAATATTCATCCCCTCATTCCTTACAATATCTTGAATATATAGGCATAATAGAAGACTCTAGAACCATACACCTAAGCTAATAAAGGATAGAAGACTCTAGAACCATACACCTAAGCTAATAAAGGATAAACTATTCCTAAGGATTTATTCTACTAAAGATGTTCCTACATCACATATCATTTCCTTTAAAACACATAAAGTCAATGCATTTTTCATCACATTTTAGATGATATTATATATAAGTGTGATGTGATTGATATACAAGAAAATGTTGGACATTATATATTTATTATGATATATATGATATAGCATGCTAAAAATTCAATGATTTGATCAGGTGTAGGGTGTACTTCTCATTCAGAAATAGAGGTGCTTCATCTATTATTGTAGATTAAAAAAATAAAAATTTCATTACCACAATTAAGGATAGCTCTATTTGGTTTGAAGAAGTTGAGAGAGAGAGAGAGTGAGGAAATGAAAATGAAATATTAAAAAAGATGAATTGAAAATAGTTTTATCCACTTGTTTGATTAAGGAGAAAGTGAGTAAAAAGGTTTTTTTTTGTTAATAATAAACAATAATTTGAAGAATGAACACAACCTAATTATAATGTTATTTATTTTTTCTTGTTTTACTTCAACATTTCATTGGGTTTCAGTGAAAACCTATAAAAAGAAATGTACAAGTTATAATTTCCTTCATAAAATCAATTTCTTATAAATTATAGTAAAACCAAATGATCAAATGTAGTTTTGATGCAAAAAAATTTTCCTATCCAATTTCTCCAAAACAAATGCTGCCTATGTAAAAAGAAAGAAAGAAAAAAATCAACAAAACCTTCTTGAAGGTGACAAAGCTTCTATAATGACTCTTTCAAAACTCTTCTTCATGAAGAAGGCGACTAACGAGCTGCTGTCGTGACTCTCGATCTGAGAGGGACAGTAGATGAAGGCAAATGAGATTTTTTAAAACTCTTGTTCACGCAAAGCCGAAGAGGTGGAGGATAGGTAGTTTGTGAAATACGAAGGGTCATGTCACATGTAGGGTTCAAAAAAAAATTTTTTTAATTAAAAGATATATGAAAGGTTGATATTTCAGTTGGGAAGAAATGCAAGCCATACTTACATAGTAGATATGCCACTTGAGTGCCTCTAAACTCTAAAGCATGTTGCAATGCAAATCTAATGATGTGACTTTGTCCTTTCAAATTGACCACCTCTCAAAGCTTTTAATCTTCCTCACAATGCAATGAGACACTAGACCCCTATTTATATTAGGTAAGGACATGTCTACAATTTCATATGTTCGCCAGCAACAACAATGATGGTGAGTTTTGCTTTACTCTATTAGCCTATGTAATTTTTTGTAAATACTCTTCATCAATCCTCTCCATTGATAACTCCTTTAACACTCACTATTAATTCCTCGATTTAAAAATATTATTCGTGCCTTATCATACTCTTATAACTCCTAGTGCATACATGACAAAATTCATTCATTCAGAATCAAGTTCTAACACCTCCACTTGGATACACATGAGCATCAATAAATAACTGTAAGCATTTCCTTCTTTCTCACATATTCAATCACAACACATTCAACATGTATATATATATATATATATATATGTATATACATCGCATAATTATACACAATTTTACATTTACAACAATGTAGTTATAATTTCAGGGTAAATTTATACGCACATTTCAACATTTGCTAATCACAAAATCATTCACACATAATGTTAACAATAACATTTTAAAGCTTTTATCATTTGATGGCAACTTTTATCAAAATACGTGCATGCATCAAAACACTCAAAACTCCACATAATTAGAAATATCTAGTGAAAATTTGGAATAAAATGTCAAAATGTACAAAATAAGAAAAAAATATACCAAAAGTTACAAGTTGAAGATTTTGTAGATGTTAAAATATTTCAATTTATGCCATTTGTGAAATTTAAAGCCAAAACTCATACTATTAAAAATAAATATATGATAATTATAGCCTACCTTGATTTGAACAACTTTTCTAATTTGCCTGATTGACCTCCAAAATGAATTTTCTCTCTCTAAAAATCCTCCTCTCTCTAGCTGACAAATCCAATGAATGATAATAAATTTGATAATGAAACTTTAGTGTATTTTGATATTTATGAAAACTCAAAAGTTATATGTTGAAGATTTCTAGATGTTAGAATATCCCACTTTATGCCATTTGTGAAATTTAAAGCAAAAACTTTTGTAAAAACTCATACTATTAAAAATAAAGATATGATAAGTATAATATATCTCGATTAGAATAACTTTTCTAACCGGCCTGATTGACCTCCAAAATGGATTTTGTCTCTCTAAAAATCCTCCTTTCTCTAGCTAACAAATTGAATGAATGATAATAAAATTTGATAATGAAACTTTATTGTATTTTGATATTTATAAAAATTCAAAACACAACATCGTAGCGCCCAAAGGCCTAGCCCCACAAAGCTACTAGAAAACTCTAAGCTCTATTTAGAATATATAGAACCCAATGTCACAATGCCCATAACCAGTATCACCATACTCCAACATAAAGAACTTAGCAGTGCAGTGCTCCCAAAAAACATCTCTATTCTACCAGAATATCGAAAGCTCAACGTCACAATGCTCAAAATGTAGTGCAAAAATGCTCCTAAGGGATTTGTCTACAATAGATTTTCACACATACCCTTATGACTAATTTCAAATAGAAAACAATATAGAACTTTACAAAAATATAGAAAATGCAATAATCTGAGCATGCCAATCTTATCAGATTAGTTCAGGTCATCACAAATTATTCTTTAAGTATTGCTACAATAGTCCTTACAAAGCCCCTCTTCAATTATAATCAATGCCTAACATTAGCATTGATATCCCTTCAAAACTGAAATCAAGATAAGTTCTCAAGTTAACTTTGTCATGCAGAGCAACCTTCTTATTATTTGTTATAATATTTACAATATTAGAGGAAGAATTTATCATCTTAGTATTGTGCGCAAATCCTACAGACATATAGATAAATAGTCCACAAAACACGTAAGATACATACATTTTTACATGAAAAACTTAAAAAGAAAAATATTATAGTTGTACATGTTAAAAATTATATCAATAAAATTTATGTCAATCCACATCTCTCTATTATCAGTAGAGTTGGGATTGCAGGTTCTAAATAGTAGGGAATATCTCATGTGATATTGGTGGAGAATGTTGAAAGATGGTGATATTGAAGCGAAGCCAATGGAAAATGATAGATGTCAATGTTGTTCAATGATGATGAAAAATATTAATGTTCGAGATCCGATAGCAGAGAGGCTAAGGCTTCGTTTGGGACAGCTTTCTTACTGCTTCTTAAAGCAGTTTTTTAGTACAAAATTTTTAATACTTATACTAGAAAGCCGCTTTAAGAAGTAGTAAGAAAGCCGTCCCAAACGAAGCCTAAGTTGTTAATGTTAGTAGATATGAGGCAATGGTTTATGGGAGTTAGCGATCAATCGTGTTGGTCAACTAATGGTCTTCAACATTAGGCAAAATTATTTGTTAAAGGATGAGCAATGTCTGTCTCTGGCTCAGAAGCCATGGTCTTGGAAATTACTTAACATGACTATCCTTCTAATCAAATGAAACTCTGAGCAAACAATAAAGGTGGAGGATAAGAATGAACATATGAAATCCATAAAATGATCATTAGTTGTTATGATGATAATCATTTTGATTATAAGCACATACAATTTGGAGGATGCTTGATCATCTCTAAAATGGCTTTGTTAAGTTTTTAATTATGATTTTAAGTATTTGGATTTATTACTGTTTTTTAATTTTTTTTTACTAAAAAAACTGTTTTAAAAATAATTAAAAAGCTATAGAAAAGAAGCCTTACACTGGAGATTAAAGAAATTCATGTACAGAATTGTATACAATTTTTCTTATTTACAGGCTTAATTGAATGCAGTCTGGAGTCTAAATATTCTAATATTTCTTTCTCTTTCTTCTGTCTGTGCTCCCCCACCCCTCACCTAATCCAAAACAATTTAGCCTGTAGATATGAGGCAATGGTTTATGAGAGTTAGCGATCAATCGTGTTGGTCAACTAATGAATGGTCTTCAACATTAGGCAAAATTATTTGTTAAAGGATGAGCAATGTCTGTCTCTGGCTCAGAAGCCATGGTCTTGGAAATTACTTAACATGACTATCCTTCTAATCAAATGAAACTCTGAGCAAACAATAAAGGTGGAGGATAAGAATGAACATATGAAATCCATAAAATGATCATTAGTTGTTATGATGATAATCATTTTGATTATAAGCACATACAATTTGGAGGATGCTTGATCATCTCTAAAATGGCTTTGTTAAGTTTTTAATTATGATTTTAAGTATTTGGATTTATTACTGTTTTTTAATTTTTTTTACTAAAAAAACTGTTTTAAAAATAATTAAAAAGCTATAGAAAAGAAGCCTTACACTCGAGATAAAAGAAATTCATGTACAGAATTGTATACAATTTTTCTTATTTACGGGCTTAATTGAATGCAGTCCGGAGTCTAAATATTCTTAACATTTCTCTCCCTTTCTTCTCTCTGTGCTCCCCATCCCCCCACCCAATCCAAAACAATTTAGCCTACTTCAGGGCGAATTATTATGCCCGGTCATTGGACGTCTGGACATCCAATTCAGACGCATTACGTCATCAAATATACTGAATCCTGATGTATTTTGATAATATGACGCATCTGAATTGATGTCCGAACGAATATGAACACCGGACATAATAATTTGCCCTGTGCTCCAGAGCTGAGGAAAGTAACCGGAGAGGTAATTTCTGAGTCGCGGCGGAGAGGGCAAAAAAGAAAAAGAAAAATGGAACAGCAGATTGGCTCGGCCAAATGAATTTAAAAAAAACCTAACACTCCGGTTAAAAACCCGAACGCAGACCCCAAAAATCCCTTCCCTCCTATACAGAGATTTCCTTATCGTTTCTTTTTCACCCCTATAAATTCGTCTCTTCTTCTCCCGCGGTTTAGTTAACCTTCCGCTCAATCTATTCCGATCGCCTCGCTCTTACTCGAAGTAAGCGTGTTCATCTAAACTCTACTCACCGAATCCCTGTTTTTTTGTTATTCTGCGTTCTCCTATGGATCTAGGGTTTGTTTTGCTGTTGCTGATCTCGCAGTTGTGATTAGGGCGGTGTGTTACTTTAGTTGTTTGTGGCTTTGGGGCTCTGCAATGGGGAAGGATGGGGATTATTCCGAGGGGGCTAAGGTTTACGAGTCGAAGAAAGAGAAGAAGCGGCGGCTAGCGATGAAAAACGACGCGGAATCGGAGGAATTGGTGATTGCTCCGCGAGTGGAGATCTTTCAAGCTGGGAATGGTGCTGCCAGTGGGAAGCGGAATATAGTGCTGGAGAAGGGTGGTGCTAGACAGAAGAGTTTGATAGGAGGAGATGTGCTCAAGAGGAAGTTAGGTGGTGAGGGAAGTAAAGGAAAAGTTCTGGAGCCGAGGGCAGATAGGAAGAGTAGGGAGATTGGTGTTGCTCAACCTGACGGTGAGGATATAGAATCGGAGCCTGTGGATTCCGTGGGGAACCAAGCAGATACTACTGTAGGGAAGAGCTTGGTATCTCTGAACGATAGCTATGAGATTACAGGCAGTGCCAAGGAAAAGGTTTTTGAATCGAAGTTCTACAGGAAGAGGAGTATGGGTACAGGTGATGATGAATTTAGCAGGAAGAGAGCAAAAGCCGAAAATATGGATTCTGTTGACAACCAAAGTGAGAAGTCTGGAGAAGACAATAAGATTATGGGCGACAGCAAGGGTGATGTTCAGGTTTCCAATCTGTCTGTCCCAAGGGTCAAACATGGGGATGAGGACAGCTCAAGTGAGAGAAAGTTTCAGCTGAGTCCGAGAACAAGTAGCAAGTCAGATGCTGTTCCATGGTTAAGACGATCTGGTCAGAGAGAACCCCGAAAGGTGAAGGATGGCAGATCTTCTGACGTTGGCATGAAAAAGGAGGTGGGGGATGGTGGAAGTTCACAGCACAGCTACATTAGGATGCATGGAAAAAGTGGCGTTTTGAGGGTTTTAAAGAGCAGTAAGAATGTTGCTGGCTCTGAAAATGCCACTGATCAATGTGAGGAACAAGGAAACACGATGAGACTGAGATCTTTCGGCACGAACAGGTTGAGTTCGTCAAACCATCAGTTAGAGAGACAAGTTGACAAGAAATCAATCTCTAATGTCAAGCTGCGGAAGAGTGCAGGAAGAGTTTCTTCAGAAGATACAAGCAGATCCAATGTTTCCAAAGTAAATCAGGAAAATATATCTCAAATGAAAAGCTCAATGAACACAGATTTGTTGCATGGCAAAAAATCTGGCTTGGCAGCCAAAAAAACGAAAAATACCGATGAGTCAAATGGAAGTCGCAGTGCAGTTAAAAACAAACTACGGGAGCAGATAAAAGGCATTCTTTTCGATGCTGGCTGGACGATTGAACTTAGGCCTAGGAGAGGCAGAAACTATGAGGATTCTGTCTATGTTTCACCTAAAGGCTCAGGTTATTGGTCAATCACCAAAGCCTATGCGGTATACCTGAGCGAATTTAAAAGCGCTTGTGATGATAAGGAAAGTTCTGAAAAAGAACCTAAAGCTTCTTCTTTGAGGGATGGCGAGTGCAAAGAGGCAAATTCTACATTTGCTGTCATACCCCCAGAGGTATTACACGTGCTTAAAAGGAATGTAGTTAATAAAAGAAGGCGTAAAAATGAAATGGAAGATGCTAAACAGAAGATTGGAGGGGGAAAGAGAAAAAAAAAGGCGAAGGTAATCACCAAAGCTAAATACTCTAAAGATAAAGGAACGTGGAATGATGTAGGGAGAACAAGAGTTATAAAGAGGAAAGTAATAGTAAGAAATAGTAAGAGAAGAGGTTGTGCTCTTTTGGTTCGTGGCTTTAACCAAGATGAAGGATCAGAAAATGGTGATTATGCCCCATATGTTTGGAAAAGAACAATTCTTTCATGGATGATAGATTTGGGAGTGGTACCCGCTTTTGGAAAAGTGAGGTATATGAACAAGAGGATGTCAAAGGCATTGCTGGATGGACGGATTACAAGAGATGGTATTCAGTGCAACTGCTGTAGTAAAGTTCTTACGGTATCAAAATTTGAGATTCATGCTGGCAGTAGGCTGCAACGGCCATATGAGAATGTATGTCTGGAAGGGTCGGGTATATCCCTGTTGCAGTGTCAAATAAATGCATGGGAAAAGCAGGAGGAGTCTACACGACGCATTTTCTATGATGTAGACACTGATGGGGATGACCCAAATGATGATACGTGCGGCATCTGTGGAGATGGTGGCGATCTGATCTGCTGTGATAGCTGTCCTTCAACTTTCCATCTCGCTTGTTTAGGCATTGAGGTAGGTTTGATCCTTTTTTTTTTTCATGAGTCAAGGTAGCGAAGACCTTATGTTGGACCTCAATGCATATGGGGAATTCATGCTGGAGAATTTCATTTCTTCTGCCAGAAGTCTTTTACTTTAGTTATTGTATCACATGGACCCTGTAGAGGTGTTTTTAATGCTGAATTAAGCATTTTTAGGCTTTGTTTCTCTCTTCTCTCAATTGATCTCTTGTTTTGTTGTGTTTTCTCCATGAGAATTTTTGCTTGCGTGGTTGTTGTGGTTGGGTAGAGCCTTGTGTTTTGTACAATTTGAGGGTGTACCACTGTCGATATCTCCATGCATTTTTTAGTTTGCTATTTTACTTTAAGGGTTCTCTTTGCACAGATGCTTCCCACTGGAGATTGGCACTGTACCAACTGTTCTTGCAAATTTTGCGGTGCAGCACATGATTCTGTAGCTCTAGACGGAAATGTATCTAATACATTATTTACTTGCTCGCAATGTGCACGGAAATGTAAGAGCTTCTACAGTCCTCAGTATACTACCATTTTTTACATTACTACATTAGAAGATGCCCTTGATACTTTATTTGGCTACTAAATTTCTGTAGTTCACAAGGATTGTGTTCCCGAGGATGATGTTGTTTCTACTGTTCCCAATAGCTCCTGCAATGTGTTTTGTGGGCGAAGTTGTAGAAAGGTAACAATGACATCTTTAACTTTTTAAGGAACTTGGTTTTCATCACTAGTACATTTTTTATCATATCTTATTATTCAATCATTCACTTCAGATTCTTCATGCCTTTTTGTTATATTGCGGTGCTGTATAAGATATCTATTCTGAGCATTGGTTTCATATTCCCTTTATCACCAATCTTTTCAAGTAGCTTTGAGTCTGCTGATTCATTTTTTTATATATTAATCGATTGAGCTTATGTGGCAGAACTTGGAGCATTTTACTGAATTTTATAGAAATGGATCGATGAGCATACTTTTTTAAATTTCATTGCTTTATCTTTTGAATGTATTTAGATAATGAGTTGATTTTATTATGTTGTTATTTCAGGTAGGTTGAAGCCATCTTAAACTTTAAATTGGAGAATGAATCTGATCATATTCTCATTTCTGTAGGTGTTCAGGAAGTTGCAGAAGCTTACTGGGGTCAGGAATGAGTTGGAGCCAGGATTTTACTGGAGCATAGTTCGCCGGTTTGAAGACCATTCCAAGTCTTTGTCTAGAATGGCTCAAACAGTGGAAAACAACTCTAAGATTGCTGTTGCATATGCTGTTATGGATGAGTGCTTTGTCCCTATAACTGACCAGAGAAGTGGTATTAATCTGATTCACAATGTTGTGTATAACTGCGGGTAAGCATTAGGTTTTTTTAATTAGTTTTGCCTCCATGCAAGGTTAAACTTTCTCCAAAAATATATGCTGCTGCTTAGTTTTTAGCAACTGATAAGAATTTCAATGTAAATACTATTTTCCCATCTTGTAATAAACTTGTATTTTTTCTATTCTCCTTCACTTGAGTCTCTCCAGCACTTGGTTGTTTTTCATTGCATACAAAATTGTTTATCCCAATTCTGTTTGACCTTTTCTTCTACCTTATACACCCACATAAGGTACTGTTTGAGCTAATTAATTTTGTTGTCGCTTTGGGCTTTGTAGAATCAAGGTATGTGAGTGCATAATTCTAAGGTTTAAAATTACGCAATTGGGTATTTAGATGTTTTTTGTTCGTGAGGCGATTTATAAGCCTTAAAGCATTTTGAGACGTAAGCCTCAAAATAAAAAAATTGCATAAAGTGAGACTAAAGGTTAAAAATAATTTTTTATATAATACTTAATAATATGTTAAATGATGACATATGAACTTTCTATTGAACTATGAAGTAACAAATTAATACATATAGAATAAAAAAATGTACAAGACGTAACGTAATAAGTGACAAATTATGTGAAATAGAATTGAAATCCAAAATATTCAAGAGCAAATAATATTAAATATAAGAATTGCATAAAAATATTATATAACACCAAGTTCAATTCCAAATTCTTAAATAATTTTTAATTTGAAAATAATAATAAAAAAAAGAATTCCAAATTCTTTTTTTCTCAGTTCTCTACTCATGCACATTTAATTCCTAAAGAAAATTGAAATAGTTGGTAACAACTCATAAATCTTTTGCACTGTCATCATTGAGAAGGTCTTTATTTGAGTCGTTGTTATATCAAATTGGTCTCTCTTGCCTCATCCTGTGGAGTTCACTGCCTCCCAATCTGTTTCTTCTTCCCTTATTTCAATCATCTCCCTCTTTCATGAATGTTTTTCATCAAAATAAAAATGAGATTAAGACTCCAAAATTCTTAGATGAGGTGGTAGTGGTGTGCGGCTTTCAAGTGATCCCCGACGGTAGGCTATGACGGTGGTGGTTGGGGTTGGAGGTTGAGGTACTCAAGAAGAAGTTGTTGCGGATCGGGGGTGTATGAAGGCATAATTTGTTTGGGGCTTTAGTTTGGAAGCTATCTATTTATTGAAAGGGTTGATGGAGTAGTTTAGAAAGTAGTTTAGAGAGAATAAGGAGAATCTATATATGATATTTATTTATTTAGAGAAAGCATATGATAAAGTTCCAAGAGAAGTGCTATGGAGAGTTCTAGCAAAGAAAGGGGTTAATAATGTTTATATTCAAGTCATCAAGGATATGTATGCTGGAGTTGTTAATTGTGTTCAAACACAAGGTGCTTTGACTAAGTATTTTCCTATTTCAGTTGGATTACATCAAGGATCATCCTTAAGCCCTTATCTTTTTGTTTTAGTCATGAACATTTACACGAGGATGTACCCTGGTGTATTGCTAATGATATTCTTTTTGCTGATAAGACTAGAGAGGGAGTTGAAGGTAAACTCAAATTATGGAGGTCAATCTTAGAGTCTAAAGGTTTTCGTTTGAGTAGATCTAAAACTTAATACATGGAGTGTAATTTTAATAGTAATAGATCTAGTGGGAGGTCTGTGACTTTGAGCGATCAAGTCATTAATAAGTGTACTGATTTTAGGTATCTTGGGTCTATTGTTCAGAGTGATGGTGAAATAGACGGGAATATTATTAGTAGAATTCAAGTTGGATGGTTGAAGTGGAGGAATGCTTCTAGTTTATTGTATGATAGAAAAGTACCATTCACACTTAATGGAAAATTTTATAAGATAGTGGTGAGACCTGCAATGCTTTATGGCGCAGAATGTTGACCATTAAAAGAAAAGCATAATATTAAGTGTTGTCTGCTGGTGATGAGGATACTCAGGTGGATGAGTGGATTTACTTTTAGAGATAGGACACGAAACGAGCATATCCGTGAAAAGGTTAGATTAGCTCCATTGTCAGATAAGATTAGAGAGAGTCTCCTTAGTTGGTTTGGTCATGTAAAACAACGGCCTTCCAATGACCCTGTTAGGAGATTAGATGTATTAGATTTGGCCTATGTTAAGAAAGGTAGAGATAGACCTAAAAAGTCTTGGTTAGAAAATATTAGAAATGAGCTTTCTTTATTAGATTTAAATGAAAGTTTAACTTTTAACAAGACACAATAGAGAAAAGTGATTCATGTAGCCGACCCCACATAGCGGGATAAAGGCTTGATGTTGTTGTTGTTGTTAGTCATAATTGGAGGATAATTGGATTACATGTTGAAACAACATAAAAATTTCACTTTATGTTTTTGTCTTTCTCCTATCAAAAGTATGCTCTAAGTATTTTGAACTACTCGTGTATTAAATTATAATAGACTATTTGAATGTCCAAGAAATGGAACCACAAATATTTTCATATGCATTTGAAATTGTTCATTAAGTAATTTTTTATGTATGCATGTGATGGATGATCAAATGATCTAGATTGTGCATGAAATCATGAATGCCATTAGATATAATGATGTTTGAGAGGATCAGGGGCCTTGATTGTCTATTACATGTCCATAAAGTGGAAATTTTAGTGAGGGAAAGAATAGTTATTCTCTCATTTATATGTGTGTAAGGTAAACTTCTCTGATTGTAGGACTAGAGGAGACATTTTCACAACATATGGGTCTGTTTTTTTTTTTTTTTTGCTTTTTTGCTTGTTTTACTTCAAGAAAAAGCAGATATATTTTGTTTTGTGTTGTGTTTGGTTGTTGTCTGCTTTGGCCCAAAACTGTCGTCAAAATCAACTGCGGAAGCATAAATTTTTTTACTGTTGGAAGTGCTTTTAGAAAGCACCCTGCTTATCATCCAAAATACTCCACATTTCCCAATAACCCAATGTTTATCAATTTGATGTAGATCAGTTTAATTCAATGCGTTTCAATTTATTATAAATTTAAAAATAAAATATAAAATATGAATTAAAGATTATCTTTTTCTCTTAAGTTTAATAGTCATAGGTGTTTTTTTAATAATTCAATTTCATTCTATTATGTATTCATTTCATTCTATTATGTATTCAATTTCTTTCGTATCTCAAAATTCAAATTTAACCTAACATATCAATAGAATATGAAAAATCAAAATCAAATAACAAATATAAATGTAGTACTCATCTTCTTTTTGTTTGAATCAACTTCTTAGGGTCTATCCTTTAATCTAAAGTTAAATATTATAATTTAGATTATTTTTTGTTTTAAATAAATAATATAAGGTTATTTTTTATAACATTTTGGTTTCATTCAGCACTCAATTTTAAATTAGATCTAATTAATCAGTAAGATGTTGTAAACTAAAATAAAAAATTGAGTATCTCACCTGCTACGCTCTCCCTTGGCTTGTCTTGCCTCTGATGCTCATGTTATGCCTCCTATGCTTGGAGCAATTATTACATCCGGTCAAATCCGAACGTATCCGAATGTATACCGAGCAATACGGAGTGCTCAATACCGAGTTTCAGGTGACATGGCGCGTGATTATTGGTCTATGAATGCATTCGGTGACCGGACGTAATAATTGCTCCCTACGCTTGGCTGCCCTCGCATCTTCCCTTTTGCTTCTTGTGATCTTGCCACTCCTTGCTTGCTCATGCTGTATTGCAGTTGTTATCGTGTTCTCTATTACTTTGCCTGCGTGCTGGATCTTTCTTTGCTTGTGCCTGTTTGCTGACCAAATGCTCACACCTCTTTATTCCCATCTCTGACTTTTGCGCCTTGCTTTTTTGGTCTAACATGCCTCTTATCAATTTCAGCTCATCTTCTTTCTTTTGGTGCTGTGTTGTGCCTCTCTCTTTTGATTTTGGTCTTCCCTTGGTATCGTTTTCATTCATTACACCGATTGATCCTCATGTAAGAAATATGAAAGATGCCATCAAGGATAGTGAGAAGATAACCATGAAAAAAGAGTCCTATTCAAGATGGAATGATTTCCTAACAAAACTCTAGCTTTATATTTGTAAATGCTCTCTAGTTTTAAGATGATTAAAACCAAAATCAATTTAACTTTCAATAGGCAATTTGAGTGGAGGAGCCAAACACTATGCATTGAGAAATGTGCATCATAAATGAAACTAATAATAGATTTTCAAAAATTGAAAAAACATTGAAAATTATGATGGAACTAATGGCTAAACGGTGGATATCAATAGCTCTCAGAAATAGAGGGAAGCCATTAAAATGGCCTTTTACTTAAGAATATTGATGTGAAAGGGAAATCCTTGCATACAAAGATCAACTCCCAACTTGACAACAATTCTCTTTTTAAGGTGGATGCTAAGCTATGATTGCCTACCTTTGATGACATACAATCCAACAAGGTGGACAATTAGTTAGGGGTTAGAGGCTTATTTCTTCTTGTACAAAAATTTCTTTTGCCCGACTCAAAATGGAATCCTAGGCACATATGTGGTGGAACACAATCCTTAAATTATGATTTATCTCGAACAACTTGGGCAAATTGAATGCCTAGTTCTATCCCATCATCCTTTAGATATAAAGAAGGATCTATTGGCAATAACCTTGACATAATATAAACAAATAGTTCAGGGGTATACTAAAAATTCAAGTGATAGGGCCTTCTTACTCGATGTAACATTACAATAAAAGTAACTCTCATATGTCTTTGTAAAGATCTTTTCAGGGAATTGTAACTATTTCAAGCACATGGTATTATAGAGATTAATTCAATAGTCATATTGGCATTGCAATAAAAGAGAAGAATAGAGCCAGTTACAGAAGCCAAAAGTTCTCCGGAGGCTATGTTTAGAAAGAAAGGTAACCGATAGGAGATTAAACTTTGAATGGGAAGCCTTATTGTTGTCGCAACCAATGCCAGGGCTAATCAAAAGCGTATTGCTGAAGTTGTATCCAGAAAATGGCTTACCCGAAAGGAAGCCAAGAATACTTTGGCCACTGCAATAAGAGTGGAAGAAGTTTGAGTTGTCAAGTGAGCAACAAGCCAATCCAACAATAGTATTAATGGCTACCTATGTCAAACTAGCTCAGAATGAGTTCTTTAAACTCAAAGTGAAGGTATAGAACCATGTAGTTAAGATTCTTATTATGGCAAGAAGAAAAATTTGTCATCTTTCGCTCCAATTCGATGATTAGGATCGCTGATTATCAAACATCCACATCCTTATCTTCTTGGATGGATCAACAATAGTTTTTATCATATGTAGTATATAGTAGGTGAAATTCACTCTTCCTGATCTTTTTGTAGATAAAGTTTTATATGATGTAATTTTATTAAACATGGTTTTATATGATACTGAGAAATCCTCGTAATTCGGGTGACATGAATGCTTTATACTTTAGAAGGGAGCATTTGCTCCGCTTCAATAATGATGGAAGATAGATTGCTGTCAGGAAAGGCATATCCATTGAAGAATTTTTGAAGCAACACCTAATCTAATAGAAGAAAAAAATGCATGCTTAGTCTAGAGCCTTTATATCAGAATCCATACTAGTTGCTCTAGTCTTAGGTACCACATCAGTTTCTCCATTCATGAATCAACGAATCCATGAGCAGCACCAGTGGCTCTAGAAAGAAAGAGGTGGAAGAAACCTTGGAGCGAGCTCAAAAGAAAGAGGCTTGTACTTTGCAGGCGTGGAAGGAGGTTAATAGATGGAACCATGATCTAGAAAGATTTCAAGATCTGTTTAGGAAGTTCCTAGGTCGCTAACAAGTCTATCAACAACTATGAAATATCCTAAACAAGCCCAATTCATGGAGCCAACTATGCCTAAAGGAGTGGGATCAAATGTTGAAACATGGTTTTCGTAAAGAATTAAGCGACAAAAGACATTTGGCAGGTCACAAATTAAATTATTTCAATGGATTTCCTTGCCTATATTTCGGGTATTACCCTTTTTCTATTATTGCAGTTGTTTTAATGTAGAGATAATTGTTATTTTTAATGGAAGTTGCTTACTTTGTAGAAAATGATTATTACATTTTAGCATTATTGTCTCATTTCATTGAATTTTGATTTGTCCCCAAATTTTTTTCTATTATTTCTTTACATAGGGACCTATTCAGATTATTATATCAATATGGAAATGGTTGACTGGCTTAAAATTCTAATTCCTCTCAAATTCTCTTGTTCCTCCCTTGTTATCCTCTTCATCTTTTTTTTTGCCTATCTTTTACCAAGCCTTTTGAGATTGGTCATTTGCATGGTGTTTGTGATGTGAAACCAAACATGCAAGGATGATTAGATTAAGGAATTTGCATGCTTAATGTTAGAAGTCATAATAACTATATCTTTATATTGATTATAAATGACAAAATAAAACACAAAGAGCGGTAAAACAAGCTTAGGCTAAATCACATACAAATGAGCTAAGATCGTAAAACAATCAATTTAATTTGACGTTGCATACATGATTGGTTTTCAATGATGATCCATAAACTAACAATGAGTTTAGATACTATAAGAATCCACTCATTCAATTATCTAATTCACTAGGTCATAGCGGATGAGAATTAACATTATTTATGTGAATCAACTAAATCATAATTGAGAGCGACTAGGAAGATAGGAAATTTGGGGAAGAGTTCACCGTGGTCAAATTCTTAGATCAGATTTGAGGTGCGAGGGAGAAGAACCCGAGTCCGGTGGCTGATCTCGAAGAAATCCTGCGTGTGGACAGCCATGTGGGATCTTCTGGGCAGCAAATGAGAGCCTTCCGGATGGCAAATCAGCACTACAAAACATCCCTCATAGGGGTACAAACGGAAACATGAAATAACTAATAAAAGAAAAGAACTAAAGCATCATAGATAAAGGCTCTGAATCAGGGCCGTCGATCGTCGTCCCCGGCGATGGTACACATGTCGAAATCTGATGCCCTCATCAATAAGTCTTCCAATAGAAAGTCTGGACAGCAGTGGGAGTATTCGGACAGCAGGACAGCCCCTGATCTTTGCCGAAATTCCATGGACACCAGCTATAGGGTGCTGGAAGTCTTCTGGACAGCAAGCTGTAATCTCCAAAAGTGCAAAACTGCAAGCTGTAATCTCCAAAAGTGCAAGACAGCGAAGAAAACGTAAGCCTTAGTAGGGGTAGGGAGAGGGGTAGATTAAATCTGAACTTAATTACAAATTTAATGGGGAATTAGGTTTTATTCCTTTGATATCTAAATTTGAATAATTGGGGAAATTGGGAGTGAAAGTGGGGAGGGGACTGTATTAATTAGATCCTTAATTCATGTGATATATTAATTAAAAGGGGACGGTTGGGGGGGCCGGCCAAGGAGAGAGGAAGTGAGAGAGGTTGTGTATTAAGGAGGTGGGCCTGAGCAATTAAGGGGATTGAATAGTTAAATATGGAATTAATTTGAGATTTCAACTAACTGGAAGTTTCTCTTAATTTATGGGATGATAATTTAAGAATAGTTTGAATTTCAAATTTGAATTTGAACTTAATTTTATGCCTAAATTAGGGGAGCCAAATTAGGAAAGCATTTATGGGAAATTTGAAATCAAAATGTGGGAGGTAAATATGTGGCCGGTGGCTATGGGGTGGAGGTGGAATGCTAGCGGGTGGAGAGAGCTGGGAGGTTTCCGGCGGGCCTGGGATGTAGGGTGGGGATGCCGGCGGGATGTGGGAAGGGGGTGGGACTATAAGCTGTAATCTCCAAAAGTGCAAAACTGCAAGCTGTAATCTCCAAAAATATAATTAATCTATATTTTGATTGCATCCACAGAAACACTAGTTTCTCTATGTCATTGTTGGACTCCAAGGTCCCAACCATTGTCCTCTTCATAAAATTTAGTAGAAATAATGAGATTAATTCACTATTTTGAGGAGAAATTAAAGAAATTCAAAGATGATAATAGGCAAAGGAAGAAGCAACAAAGAAGAGAAAATGAATCCTATGGAAAGAAAGATGAAAGGATTTCCTAGCAAAACCTTAGCTTCACATTGGCAAATGCTCTTTCAATTTTTTTTTTTCAATAATCTTGCATTGGAGCTAAGTTATTGTTCTTCCTACATAGTTATGTGAGGCCCTAGTTATGCCTTGGGACCCCCTTTTTAAACCCTAATTGGTTCATTAGCAGGTTGCACAAAAGATTGTGGAAGTCTTATAAGATCTAATTACCATGGGTAGTTATATTTAGTAGTTTAAATCTCTTAGCCTTGGATAGTGGAGAGAGAGTGGCATAACCTTTCACAATATAATGCTTATGGACACATACTTAGAACCATTTGGAAGGACTTGGAAATCACAACAAATAATAGAAAATGCACTCATCACAAAAGTAGATAAAATAAACATTAGATGATTAGGAAGGAGAAGAGATAGTTGTTGTTCAAATTGATTTATGAAGAATAAGCTTATGACATTAAGCATCACCCAATGGGAACTAATAAAAATTAAGGATTCATAAAGTAGACTCCTAATAGTTGGGATAAGATTATTGATAATGATGATGAGTTGCAGACTTATAATGTTACTTCCGACCATGATCTCCATGGACAATAATGCATCTGACACTGAAGGTTTTTTTTTGAATCTCATATTTATAAGATTTTATAAGTGGCTGATTTAACATTTATGCCAATGGAGCTTACTCTGATTTTCTACTATGTTATAGATCAAATTTCAATCGGCTGAACTTCAGTGGCTTTTATACTTTTATTTTGGAGCGAGGTGATGAAATTGTTGCTGCTGCATCTGTCAGGTAAATATTCGTCCCATCTATGCTTGATAAAAAATACTGCTATAAACTGATTTTGAGTTATCACATACCAGTTAGATATTAATAATTTAATGAAATCGACTGCTCATTATATTTTATGAATTATTTATATTTGTAATTTTAGAGTGGTAAACTACTTGTCAGAGCCAACAATATTTCAATCTTGGGAATTTGTATTGTTTAGCATTAAATGAAACAACTTTTTTTTCTTCCCATCAAAAGTTTGTTTGGGGAGCATGAATGACAGGATTTGTTAATTTACTAATCTATGTTTCAAGTGCATGTCCGTGCTTTATAGGCATTTGTTCAAGATCAGATATATGTTATTCCAAGTTGCTAAACTGTCAAATGATCATTAACACAGTTTTTTTTTTCCACTTTTTCAGGATACACGATACAAGGCTGGCAGAAATGCCTTTCATTGGCACAAGGTGTATGTATAGGCGTCAAGGAATGTGTCGAAGACTTCTTGAAGGAATTGAATATGTATGTTCTCGCTTTGTTCTTCATGATCAGTGTTCAACTTAGCATAGCAACCAACTGTTGAGTGCATTTTAATATTTTAAGTCTTGCTATGGCCTATCCTAATTCAAAAGCAATCTTATTGATTCTATTTATTTCGAACAATGCAAGCAAAGAGAATAATTCTAATCATGTTGACATTTTAAATTGGTCACGAAAGTATCTCCCATTCTCTGGCTGTTAAGATTTGGTCTCAAAGTGATCTTTTGCACAGTTGTACTCAGATTATTGGTTTTTTTTTTCTTTTAAATGAATTCAGGCTTGCCTATATTTTAACTGTAGTTCTAGGTTAGCTCAAGCCTAGTAAGAGCTAGTTTATTTTGAGGTATCTGGTTGAAAGTGATTGGCGGTCACTTTTGTAGCTGACTACGACTTTTTATCTGGTAAAAGGTGAATGAAATTGATTTTATTTTTGGAACTCACTTTCGGAAAGATGGGAAATGTGCTTCAATTATAGGGCCTCAAAGTCACCTTTATTATTATATAATAATATAATAACGTATAGTTAATGGGATGTGGGTTGGATTATTGTTTTTTCTTATATTAGTAACAAATAATATAAAGCTAATGGAACAATAACAACAACATCAAGCTTTTGTCCCACTACGTGGGGTCAGCTACATGAATCCTTTTTCTCCATTGTGTCTTGTTAAAAGGTTTTCGCTTGAGTAGATATAAAACTGAATATATGGAGTATAATTTTAGTAGTAATAGACATAGTGAGGGGATTGTGACTTTGGACGATCAAGTCAGTAATAAGAGTACACATTTTAGTTATCTTGGATCTATTGTTCAGAGTGATGGTGAAATAGATGGGGATATTATCAGCAGAATTCAAGTAAAAATAATTTTTTAAAATATTCATGTCATGATCGACATTTTAAAAACCGGACTGGACCGGCCGGTTCGTTTTAACAAAAACCGGCAAAGCAGGGAACCATATTTGAACCGATCAGATCGTCGGTCGGACCGTGAAACCAGCGAACCGTGAACCGGACTCGAACCGCCTAGTTAAACAGACGCTTCTCTCAGCTGTTTGATTTCAATCGTGCGGTATTTGAGAAATAAGTAAATAAGTATGTGAAGGAAAACCCTAATTGATTTCAATCGTGCGGTAACTCCCGAAGCTGTGCCTCTCCTCCGCTCCTACTCCTTCATAGCTGCAGCTCTTCCGTCGGTGCTCGGATCATTCGCGAACTAGCTGACGAAAGCAAGGACAAGAAGAAAGTAAACAGGCAAGAAAGATTTCTTTGAAGAGAAGATTAAATTGTTTCTACCAGAGGAATCATTGTAAGATTAGGAGATTTTGGCTTCAATAATGGTTCATCTCGTTAGTGTTTTGGAGATGTCAGCTCTCTAACAGGAAAAAATTGTCATCTCCTTCCTCTTTTACATGTTGCTATTGCAGCCTATCGTGGACTTAGCAGTGGCCTCGGTTTCTCAAATATCGTACGATTTTATAAGGCAGTAATCTTAGGTTAGTATTTTAAACTTCTTTTCTTCTATCTTTGTCATAAAATTTATCTTCTCTTTTTGTTTGTATAATTTATGGTGTTAATCGAATATGTATAATTGGTTCCTTTAAATTGAATGTTACATTGCTGCTTGCTAGTTTTGAGTTATTGATTGATGTTTCTTTTTCTTCTGTGAATTCCCATCTACACTTATTTTGGTGTAGAAGTTTGAATTTTTATTGTTTAGTGCGGATTTAGGGGAATGGGACAGAATTCTGATGTTCTTATTGCCCATTTGGGGCATTGAATTTGAAACCCTTTTCACTTTGTTAGGCGCTCTCGCTCTCCCATGGTTTTGGATAAATGAGTGGTATTTTGATTCATAACTCACTCCTGCAACTGTGCAGCTCTACTTGTTAGTGGAACATAATGGACAGATGTATTGGTTTGAATGGTGATAGAGCCATTGAGGTTCTTATCAACCACTTTCAAGTCTTGAAATATGTTTCTAACAAGTATCACCATTCTTCCACCTTGTTTCCAACAGGTATCTACTCCTTCGTCGCTTATGTTTTATAAACTTCATTGATGTCATATTTATATTATTTGATTAGTTTGATATGAAAATGAAATGTATATTGTATAGTGAATGTATTAGAGAAAAGTTTTTCATTCATTTTATAATTTTTAATAATATTATTATTTATTACGTCATCCGGTTCGACCAGTCGAACCGGTCAAACCGTAAACCTCTCGTTCCGGTCTGTTGTCCAGTCCGGTTTTCAAAACCTTGGTCATGATTATTCGATAAGTTTTACGCTGGCTGTCGACTACTTAACGCAACATTTTACTTTTCTCATCCAGGACTTGGGACATGACAACGACAATATTAATATAAAGCCAATGGGAGGATAGGTAAAAATAATAGTAAATGCAGCCCAGCTAAATTCAAGAAGTCTGTTTCTGTTTGCAAAACAAAATAGAGAAAATTAAGTTCACTTCAATGTAACTGAAATATCAAATTAACTCCTATCGTTTCAAACACTTATGTTGAAACAAACTGACAACATAAGACTATTCATCTTTGGACTGGATGGCTCACAATTGCGTAGTTATTATTTTCCCTTTGATAGTTGGACCTTCTGTCTTTCGTCATCTACTGATCTATGCCTGATATCTTTTTCATGTTATTCTTTCATCCTTTATATATATATATATCTCAATGATATTGGTTTGCATTATTTAATACTCATCTGTTTTAAAATCAATATGGCATATACTCATTATGTAACATTGAATATGTTCGCTTTTTTCTTTGGGAAATAAACTCTTTATTTATTTAAATTTTGTGCATCTCAAGAACTTTGGATAGTTTCCTTTTGAATGTGAGGTTGTTGTGTACTTCGAAGTACAGTGGATCCAATTGGAGTGATGCTTTGCAAGATTTTAAGAAACATGTAGTAAACTTGTTATTATTCATTAAATGTTTGATATAGGAGCATAGTTGACATGAGACATTTTGTTAAGCACTTCTCATTCCACTTCAGTTATTTTCGTTGGTTCTCGTTAGATCGAGCTATCAAGGGGCCTTTTTTGTAGTTGGATTTTTCTTATCTATGGCTTTCAGTTTTTTGACTTGGCCTTTTGATCGAGACATCAAAGTGTGGAAAGTCTATCGGAGACGTGGCCGTCGATCTACGAGCATGATTGAGTCGATGTACTTCTGAGTCGTATTATGTATTTTCTTTATTATTATTTTATGTTGTATTTGCTTTATTAGTTTTCCGTTTTTGCCCCATTTACTTAAGGGAGGTCATATGTAAGCCTAGAGGGCATCGACGTCTTTTAGTTTCTTGGGTCCTTTGTATGAGGCTATATCATGGTTTAAAATTGCGCAATATGAGGCTCGCCTTTGCGCAATTCCAGTAAAAAATGCCTCGATGCTTATGCCTCGAGTTTTTTTTATGAGGCTTGCGCCTCAAACTTGGTTGAGGCCCGCATTGAGGCCAGCCTCGCCTCACTGGCATGAGGCTTACGCCTCACGCTACATTTATTAAAACTTAAATAAATCTTGAAGTAAATGTCCGACATTGGACTCTATAGGAGAGGAGGAAGGGGAGAGAGCAGTTCACCATAATAATGATTCAAATGAAGAACCCCTTATTGATGACAGTGTTGATGACTTATGAGTTCTTATGTGATATGACATTGCTATTTATGTTTGGAAATCAGAATTATATGTTAATGAAAAGAATACTGGGATTTCAGAAAGATAGAATTTTGAGTTGAACTATATTTCATGTTATCTTATTATTGAGATATTTTGATTTCACTTCATATCTTATGCTTTTTTATGTTTTATATTATTCACTCATTAGAATATAACAAATTTATCATTTTATGTTTACGCAATCTTTTGATTTTGAGGCTTACGCCTCAAAACGCCTTGAGGCTTACGCCTCGCCTCACGAATGAAAAACACCTCAATACCCGAATATGCAATTTTAAACATTGGGCTATATATAATCCCTCTTGTTCTCTTTTCATATTAATGAATGATTATTATTGAAAGTCCAGCTTTTGTGTTTCTTGGCGAGTTTGTGAGTTTTGGAGAAGAGCCTTGGAGAGGCTAAGCATATTACCCAACAACCACACCCTCGGGTGAGTTCTTGGTTGATCTGAAACTAAATGTGATAAACAAGAATTGCAATTAAGATATTAATAGAAGTTTATGAACTTTACTTTGCTGCCAATAACTCTTTGTTTGCTCAAGTTAAAGCTTAAAAAAATATGGCGTTAAAAGATTAAGTAATAACAATTGGTTACAACTTGAGATTAGTTGGACTTGCAAAATAACAACCAAGATTAGTAGGTAATGCAAATAGCAATTGTAACACAAGCCTCAAATTTAAAATCTAGATCATTCACCTCGAGAGCCTTCACTCAATCTCTTGAAAGTGGAGGCTAGCGGAGGAGAATTGCAAGCACACTTAAGGATGCCGCTATCACACAAGTGACGCCGAGGGGACTAGTTGCCGGGGAAGAAACCGGAGTTGGAGAAGCGGTCGTCCGATAAGAGTCCATGGAGTTCTTAGTCGTTGAAGCTTGATAGTCTCGGCGAGACAATAAACGATGCAGTTGACGTAACGTTCGACGGTGCCATTGTACTCCCAATCCAGCTCGTAGAAGGGAGAGAGGAAGATGTCGATCTCTCCTTGGGCGTTGTAGGCAAAACGGTGATCAACTTTTGGATCCGCCATGCATTCTTGCCGAGAGATGAAGGAGCACCGATGGAGAGAAGAGGGAGAGGAGGTGGCGGCTTGGAGGGGGATGGTGTTGAGCCTGCTTGAGGGTTGGAGGGGGTCGGCTAGGGTGGGAGGCCAAGAGACAAAAGCATAAAATCTGAAATTCCTTCAGATTTTAGTGGGTTGGGAGGGATTTAATTTGAAAATTCAAATTAATCCAAAGGGGAGAGGGGCGTCAATGTGGAGGGGATTGGGGGCTGATTAT